GTTTACCTTTCCGCAATTTATTAAGAAGATCAAGGTCTGAAGGAGGAGGTGCAACCAAAAGATCTGTCAGTGAGGACTGAATTGGAGGAGGGGCTGGTGCTCTTCTGTGAGTATACACTTGTCGGATTGGTGACTTCTCAGTAGTAACCTGCACGGGAGAGGGAGGGGAAGGAACAGGAACCACAGGGCGGGGGGAGGGGGTCCTCAACTGGAATAGGAAGTGGAACCACGGGGGAAGGAGAAGGGACCTCAATACTCGAGAAAATGGGACTAATTCAAAGAAAGTGACATCCAAACGCACAAATGACTTATGAGAGTTAGGGTTATAGCACTTATACCCTTTTTGAGTCCTAGAGTATCCAAGGAAGATGCATTTAGTAGCACATGCATCTAACTTGTCTAAACCAGGCCCCAAATTTTGAACAAAACAAACACACCCAAAGACTCTCGGGGTAAGAGGAAATGGAGACAGAGTGGGAAACAAAACTGAGAAAGGGGATTGACTTCCAAGGATAGACATGGGCATCTGATTGATGAGGAAAATTGATGTTAGGACAGCATCGCTCCAAAAACGCTTTGGGACATTCATATTAGGCATAATGGATTGAGCAATTTCAAGTAGGTGTCGGTTTTTCCGTTCAGCCACACCGTTTTGTTGTGGGGTGTAGAAACAAGAAGTTTGATGAATTATTCCATGGTGCTCTAAGTATTGCTGAAATGGTGTTGAGGTGTACTCTTTTGCATTATCGGAGCGAAGAATTTGAATATGAACTCCAAATTGGCTATGTATTTCAGCATAAAATTTTTGAAAAAGAGAGACCAATACATTGCGATCTTTCATAAGATAGAGCCATGTAATCCTTGAAAAGTCATCAACAAAAATTACAAATTACTTATAACCATTGTATGACACTACTTTATTTGGACCCCAAACATCAGAATGAACTAAAGAAAAAGGACTCAAGACACGACTATTAACTCTTGGACTAAAAGAGACTCTATGGTGTTTCCCAAGCTGACACAACTCACAATCCAACGATGAAAGATGACTTAAGGACGGAACCAGCAACTTCAGAGCCTTGAGAGATGGATGGCCAAGTCTACAATGCCATTGGAGAGGAGCAAGAGACAACTAAAATGCTATTGGCGGGCCACCACCATCAAGGTAATACAATCCACCTGCCTCATAACCTCCACCAATCTTCATCCCTGTCTTGAGATCCTGAAACACACAAGAAGAGGGATAAAAGGTTATRGRACAATTAAGTGACTTGGTTAATCTACTAACAGACATAAGGTTAAAAGGGAACTTAGGAACATATAAAACAGATAATAAAGATAAGGAGGTAAGATCAACATCACCAACACCACAAATGGGAGATGCAGAACCGTTAGCAAGGGAAACTGTTTGGGATGTAGAAGACTGAGAAAGTGAAGAAAATACATTTGGAGTCCCAAACATATGACCCGAGGCTCTAGAGTCAATGATCCAATATGAAGGTTTRGAAGCCAAGCAAGCCATACCTGAATGGGCAAGAGTAGCTGTGTTCTGCTGAGAGGATGTCTAAAGGAACTTCTCATATACCTCACATGGTACACTTACCATCTCCTTCCCAGAAGCACCAGTAGATGTGGAGGGAGTCTGATCAGTTTTCTTATTTTCACTAACTGTACCACTGCCACTAGTCACAGCATGGTTAGCCCAAGTGTTGGGTGGACCATGTAAATCATAGCAGAAATTAATAGTATACCCCTCTAATCCACAATATGTGCATTTTCTAGTTGCATTACTTCTTCCTCTACCACGACCTCCCCTGACTCTCAACCTCCACTGCGACCACTAGAACGATTAAACATAGGACCACCTCGGTTCCCTGGAAACCCATGGCCACCACCTCTATTTCCACGACCTCCCCCTCTAGTCACCACCAAACCAGATCTGTCCGAGAGGGAAGAAGACTTTGTAGAATCAATAGATATCCTCCGAAGGTGGGAAAACACTTCTTCAAGCAAGGGGAGGGCAGACCCCCCTAGTATTTGTGCTCAAACCGGTTCATATTCAGCCTTCAGACCTACCAAAAACCTTGTCACATCAAGTTGCTCTCGCTGTTGTTGTTGAACCTGAACATCCGGAGTCAGAGGATGATATACATTAAGCTCATTACGGATATTTCTCATGCTTGCATAGTATTCCTCCAAGCTTTGGTTACCTTGCTTCAGATTAAAGTACTCTTGATAAAGCTGATATACCCTAGTGGTATTATCTTGGCCAGAATAAAGTTTCTTAGCATGGTCCCAAATTTCTTTACCTGTCTAGAAGCATAAAATTCACACTGATTTTAGGTTCCATGCTATTCCACAACCAAGTCATGATTTGTGCATCCTCCTGTTCCCAATCATTGAACCCTAGATAATCGGAAGGGGGTTTCTCCTCTCTCACATGTTTTACCTTTTTCTTGGCTTTTAGAAACACTTCCACAGATTTGACCCATGGCACATAGTTCTCACCATTCAACTTAATAGATGGCATTTGAACATTTAAGTAATCTGGAGAAATCATAACACCTGTTTTATTGTCACTCTCATCTCCAGATGATGCCATCTTAACTGGTTCACTTCACTTCACAAAGGAATATCACTATTATAGACAAAGTAGTCACCTTCTACTATTCAGCACCACACCACACACTACTCAACAGACTATAAATGTGACCACACTACTGCTGTCATGAATTCAGCATTCGAAAACCCTACTTTCAACTCACACATCCAGGTATAAACAGAAGGAAAAGAAGCTTATAAGCATACCTATCAATTCACACTACCACATAAATGATATCCAGACCAAAAGAAAGTAGCCGCAGCCCACTACTAGTCGAATAGATATTTCTGTTCACACCTGTCCACAACTAGCCTTCTTCGTACCATCGAATAGAGGGTATCTAGTATACCACCACAACGATCACCACCACAGCAACCGGAGGCATATTTACCTCCAAGAACAAAAAACGACCACTCCTTTTTGGCCCTTTATCGAACTTCCTATCTGTCTAGGAGATATTAAAAAAAACTGATATGGCTGGCGGCGATCCCAAGAAGATGAAGGGCGATGAGAAAAAAAATAGAACTGGTTTCTTATTGCTTTGATACCATGTAAATAGGTAGCTTGATCCTATTCAGTTCTTGGTTTGAAGTATGAGGAGAAGAAGAAGAAGAAGAAAAAGAAGAAGAAGAAGAAGGGTTCGGCTAGAAGAGAAAAAGTCGCTCTGTCTAGCCGACCCACTTTGTATTTATAATGAATAAGTTGAGTTACAAAAGGCAGTATTGTCCCTTACAAGTGATGGGACACATAACTTAAATTTGAATAAAACAGACCTTTCACTTCTAACTAGATAAACCAAAAGACCAAAATACCCCTGTACTGTCGACTCCAACAAGGAAAAATGCTTTGGAAAGTAGAAGACTTAAAAAACAGAGAAAACATCAATATGTCTTGGTTTCAAAGGCTTTTGCTAGACTAAAAGTGGGTCTCTTTGGGATTAAGACCAAACAAGAAGGTTTCAATGATTAAGAAAGCCTCAAGAAGCTTTTAGTGGTCCAGTGGTTTAAAGGTCATAGTTTTTGAGGGTGGTTTTGGTGTTGGTTTTGTTGAGAGAGGGTGTTACTCTTGTGGGGTTTGATGTGGTTTTGTTTGTGTTGTCTTTGAGTTTGAGTTAGGTTTGGGCTGTTTGTGGTTGTTATGGGGGCTGTTTTTGGTCGTTTGTTGGGCTTCTGGGTTCTGCTGGTTTTTTTGTTGAGGTTCAGTTGGGTGGAGTGCTTGTGTGGGAATTGAAGATTGTTTATTCTTTTCTCTTTCAAGCAACTACTAGTCACTCTCCTTTGTAATTTCTTTTTTCCTTTTAATAAATTTTATTTTATTACCCCAAAAAAATTTCAAAAAAAAAACACGTTGAGATTAAATCAGTCTTAAAGATCATAGAAACAAGACAGCATACTGCAGCATGATAGTATATCAATTTTCTTATGAACAATAAGAAAGTTTATATTTGAAATGAATAAAAGAAGTGAAACACATTAGTCCTTCAAAGGGTGGAGAGGCCAAAAACCATGCCTGTCCACCAAGGCAACTCAATAAAAGTTAAGAACCAGCAAAACAGAAAAGCAAACCCCAAATAATAAATGGCACACAAACAGTAAATTTAATCATCATCATCATCACCATCCATGCCTTGTCCCAACTCCCAACTATATGGGGTCAGCTACATGAATCCTGTTTTGCCAATCTGTTGTCTTTAAAACCATATCCACTATTAAATTCTTAGTATTTAAATCATTTCTTACTACCGCCCATGTCCTTTTTGGTCTACCACTAGATCTTCTAGCCCCTTCCACTTGTAACAAATCACTTCTTCTAGCCAATCTGTTGTCTTTAAAACCATCCCACTCTCACTCATTTTATCACTTATTGGAGCTACTCCTAGGTTTCTACGGATGGCTTCATTCCTGATCCTATCCTTTCTAGTTTTTCCACTCATCCATCTTAGCATTCGCATTTCTTCCACACTCATTTCCTGAACATGTCGTTTCTTGACTGCCCAACACTCTGCTCCATACAACATAGCTGCCCTTCCAACTGTTTTATAGAATTTTCCATAATCTTAGTGGTATTCTCCTATCACAAAAAAGTGCAGATGCACCCCTCCATTTTCCCAATCTTCTTTAATTCTCTAGATGACATCCTCCTTAATCTCTCCCTTGTTATGAAGAATTATTGAACTAAGGTACTGGAAATGGTCACATTGAGTTATCTCTTGGTTTCCAATTCTAAGTGTATCCTGATTTACACTCTTATTATTAAATTTACATGTCATATACTCTGTGCGACTGATCATATAAGAATTCAAATTGTTATCTTAATAGGTTAGATGGAGTCTGAACCATCCATTGAAATATCAATGTCCAAAAAATATAAGCCAACAATAAAAAACAAAATAACTCACTTGGAACAATGGATGTGACATTGAAACCAATATTGACAACAATTCCTGATGTTCGTCTTGCAGCATACAAAGCTAAAACCGCCTATAATTTTCACATATAGTCAAAATGCATACATTAGTTGAGTGACTACAGGAAGATGAGGAAAAAAAACAAATTACTTTAGTTGCTTCCATTATCAAACACTGAAGGGAAAACATAAAAGATAGCAACAAAATAGTTCATAACTTATGCAACTAATGCTGTAAACTTTGTTCCATTGGCCAGATCGTATATTTGTACAAGCAAAAACACTAAATAAAAATAAGCAGCAGATAACATAGTACGTATAAGAACCTATTTAAATTGCACATGATACAAGAAAGGAGTCCATTATGATAGTAGCATTCACATCTGTTAAGCCCAGTGGAGGAGAAGACCCAGGCGGAGCAATTCAGGCCCAACAGGCCCAAGTATCGGCCCAGAACACCACACGAATCACACGTATGACACCACCCATTACATTCGTGTATACCCGACATCCACATATTGGGAAGCAATCATAGTCCGTAAGATGCTCAGAGTTGGTTACAGGTTGTTAGCTGGCCATGCACTATATAGGCCAATCAGCAAATGCATGAAAGAACAGTGAATAATTCCTTGATATTTCTTTCCCTATCTCTCTCTCCCTCTCACTCTCTCTCTCTCTTTCCCTCTCGTCTCCAATCTCCCATCCATTTCAGGAGGGCGAGCTCCCTCGAACCATCTCACCGGAAACATAGTAGAAGCGGGAACCTATCAACTGGTATCAGAGCCTTGCTGCGATGCCAACCACCAGGTTCTCATCTGCAGAAGAAAGGATCGAGCGCAGAAGGAGAAGTGCGGCAGACTACTAGTGAGTTGAGAGAAATCAAAGAGACCCTCTCAGCTTTGGTAGGTCAGTTCGAACGGATGTCATCAGCTTCCAGACCCACGGATGTTGAAGGATCTAGCAGCAGCGGTGTTAGGCGAGGAGGAGCATTTCCAGTCAAGGCTGCCAAAATCGATTTTCCTCTTTACTCAGGTGATGATCCCGTTCCTTGGATTTATCGGGCCGAATGCTACTTTGAATTCCATGAGACCCCAGCAGATCAGAGGGTCTCCATTGCCGCCATACACATGGATGGTGAGGCTATTATGTGGTACCAATGGTACCGTAAGACCCACCCTCAGACCACCTGGTTAGACCTAACTGAAGCCTTATGTGTGAGGTCCGGTCCTTCTGGTTATGAAAATTTCAACGAGTCACTCTCTCGGGTAAGACAGACGGGAACAGTGAGGGAGTATCAGAACGAATTCGAAAGGTTGGCCACCCAGGTTCACGGCTGGCCAGAGGCCGCTCTGGTGGGGTGTTTCATAGGGGGCTTAAGGGAAAACATCCGAATAGAGGTGAACACCATGCAGCCGACCAACCTGATGGCAGCAGTGGGATTGGCTAAGCTTCAGGAGAGATTGGACCACCTTAAGAAGTTAGGGAGGCCTATTGGGCCTCAGGCGGGCCTAATTCAGAAAGGACCCTATCCCAAGACTGATTCGAAACCTGGGCCTCTACTTCCAACCCCAACCACCGCTACCCTCAAGCCAATTCCCTTACCAGCTCCACCTTACAAGAGGACTGGAGCTCTGACCCTCCCTTACCGGAAACTATCTTGGACGGAAATGCAGGCCCACAGGGAGAAAGGCCTCTACTATAATTGCGACAAAAAATTCGTTCCAGGCCACAAATGTAAGGCCCAACATGTGTATCTTCTACAAGTAGAAGGAGAGGATGAATCTGAAACCCAAACCGGTGACCTGGGGGGGTTCAGCAGATGGAGGTGGTACCGGAGATAGAATACTGTGTTATATCCCTTCAAGCCCTAGCTGGTTACCAGGCCCCAAGAACCATGCAAGTACAAGGGCTGATATCAGGGAAGAGAGTGGCTGTCTTGAGTGACAATGGAAGCTCTCTGAATTTCATTACTCCCCGATTAGCCAAACAACTTGGGTTAATGATAGAACCTGTCTCTTCGTTTGCAGTCAACGTGGCCAATGGCCACCAAATCACTTGTGATGGGAGGTGCAAATCAGTAGAATTAAAGATTCAGGGGTACCAATTTAAAGTGGATCTACATCTGTTAGAGTTCACAGGGGCAGATGTTGTCTTGGGCATACAATGGCTACAGTTGTTGGGCCCTGTGGTGTGTAACTGGACTGATTTGACAATGCAGTTTACTTATGAGGGGAGTTCCTATACATTAAAGGGGATTAAGGCCCAACCCATAACCGCTAACAGTTTGGAGGTGGTTCTTAAGTCCTGTCAACAAGACTCTATTCCACTACTAATGAGCATGGGATCAATGCCCACTGGGCCCAATGTCACTCCACTCACAGGAAACACTAGCCCATCCCCAAGCCAGACCCTACAGTTCCAACTATTACTACAGACCTACTCCGACATTTTCCAAGAACCTTCCCTCATTGCCACACACTTGAGCCCATGATCACTAGATTCCCATCCAACCCGGAGCCCCACCTGCCAACGTCAAACCCTACCGCTACCCCCATTACCAGAGAGTTGAAGTGGAGCATATGGTGACGGAGCTGTTAGACAAAGGTTTTATCCGGCCCAGCAGCAGCCCATTTTCCTCCCCAGTAATTTTGATAAGAAGAAAGATGGTAGTTGGAGATTCTGTGTGGACTATAGAGCCTTGAACCACATCACGGTCAAGGATAGGTATCCCATACCTCTGATTGAAGAGCTATTTGATGAGTTGGGCCAAGCTAAATACTTTTCTAAGGTGGACCTTCGGTCAGGCTACCATCAGATCCGGGACCACTCCAAAGACGTCCACAAAACTGCGTTCAGAACCTCGGATGGGCATTTTGAGTTCCTAGCGATGCCCTTTGGGCTGACTAATGCCCCCTCCCCATTTCAAAGACTCATGAACGGAATTTTCAAACCTTATCTGCACCTATTTGTCCTTGTTTTCTTCAATGATATACTTGTTTACAGTTCAAGTTGGGCCTCCCATTTGGAACATTTGCAGTGTGTGTTAAGCCTACTACGACAGCATCAATTGTTCGCTAAGCCCTCAAAGTGCTCGTTTGGATAGACCCAGATCAGCTACTTGGGGCACATCATTTCTGGAGGACAGGTATGCACCGACCCAGAGAAGATTAATTGCATGGTCTCCTGGGCACCCAGCTCTCCACGGGCTCTAGGGGGTTCCTTGGGTTAACGGGTTATTACTGTTGGTTCATTAAAGGATATGGGGTTTTTGCCACTCCTCTCACATGATTGTTGAAGAAGCACTCCTTCGAGTGGGATCAAGAAGCTAAAGAAGCCTTTCAGGCACTCAAGGAAGCTGTAACCACCCCACCTACATTGGCCCTTCTTGATTTTGATCTGGAGTTTATAGTGGAGGCTGATGCCTCAGGTAAAGGCATAGGTGAAGTTCTGGTGCAGCAGGGCCGACCCTTGGCCTACTTCAGCAAGGCTCTTTCTCCACAAGCTCAAGCTAAGTCCACTTACGAGAAGGAGCTCATGGCCATTGCTCTGGCAGTTCAAAAATGGAGAGCATATCTTCTGGGCCAAAGGTTTATTGTCAGGACGGACCACCGCAGCATTAAGCACCTACTGGAGCAGCGAGTTTTGGGCTCTAGCCAACATAAGTGGGCCTACAAGTTAATGGGGTTCGACTTTACTATTGAATACAAGACCGGGCCCTCTAATGTGGTGGTGGATGCACTCTCCAGAGCTAATAACTTTCACATAATGGGCTTGTCATGACCGAATTACCCACTATCTACGCAACTAAAGCAAGAAGCCCAGGACGACCCTAATTTAACCCAAATTCGGGCCCGGATCCTTGAGGATTCTACATAGGCCCCAAGGTACACAGTCCAGAATGGAGTTCTCTACTACAAGGGCTGTATGGTGGTGTCGAGAGAATCCAAATATCATCAAGAGTTGCTTTGGCTATTCCATAACTCAGCCCAAGGAGGACATTCAGGAGCTCTCCGCACCTACAAACGATTGGCAACCCACTACTATTGGAAGGGTATGAAACAAATGGTTCAGGAGTTTGTGGCCCGATGTACTATTTGCCAGCAACAGAAATATAGCACCCAGACTTCAGTCGGGTTACTGCAACCTCTACCCATTCCGGAGAGGGTGTGGGAAGAAGTCACCATGGACTGTCACCATGGACTTTATAACTGGGTTACCCATGTCCCAAGGGAAATCAGTGGTGCTGGTGGTGGTGGACTGACTGAGTAAATATGCTCACTTTATAAGCCTCTCTCGATCTCACTCAACAACCACAATGGCCCAGGCTTACATTCGAGAAGTAGCCAAGCTCCACGGAACCATGGTTTCAAATGTCGCTAATGTCACCCGACATATGTTGATGTCAAGGCTCACCGACATGAAAATGGATGGTAATATAAAAATTACATTATGTCGGTCGACATTTCCGAATACCAAAAAAAATACAGTTTTTCCTATTATGTCGACAGGATGTCCACTAATGTACATTAAAAATATAATATATTAGTATATTATAATAATATAATACAGTATATTAATATAGATTATTCCATTAATAATTTCTATTTAATATTTCAAATAAAATATTTATAAAAAAGAATTAACAAAATATAAAAACAAAAGAATAAATTAATTACTTTATAATAT